ATACAAAACATGCTGGGTCAAACTCAACTGGTGCTTCCGTACTGACTCATTTATTATTTGTATCACAGTCTGGGAACCTCTTGGAAAGTTCTCTTTAAGTTATCAGGCACAGAACTTCATTTAATTCCTGTAATTTTGAGAAAGAAATTATTCTGAATGAACCAAACAACATTATGGGTTAACTAATTCACAAATAACTCCCACTTTCTAGCAGCACTATACCCTCTCCTTCTACACTTGGACTGTCTTAATGAAGACTTTGCTGGTTTTGCAAAGTCTCAAATACTGATTATATGTTTATATGAAGTCTGACACAAGTTCTCTACAGTATACATTTGTTTTTATGCTCAAAGTGATGGCTGGAGCTACTTTTTGTTTTTCAGCTTGTTTAATGGTCCTCTTCATTCTAAAGAAGCCGATATAGTTTCTTCAAATTTGGCATCAACTGTTAAGATGAACTGATTCAACTCAACTGAAAACATCTTTGTGAATATAACGGAAGAATTCCAAACTTCTCAAAAATGTCTTATTTATGTCACTGATGCAAACTGCAGTTTGACTAGTTGGCAAGAAAAACCAAAGGATGTCAATTCTAGCTGTTTGTGTGACGGTAAATAAAGTGGATGGGAAGAAACCGCTTCTGCATTCTCACATTACACTCGAAAGAGGAAGTAATCCCTTGTTTACTGCAGGTTTGCTGGCAGAAAACACAGAGAGGATGACTCGACTGTGTTAATGTGTTCCAGGGCTCCAAGCGTACAGTTAAACACTCACAAGTGTAAAACGGGAGCGCTGTAACTCGAAGTATGAACTCGGTCTCTCTCGTGAGCCTGTCATCTATTATCTTTCACACAATATACAAATATGGTAAAAAAATATTGCTGAATGCAGACGTGTATATTCCTTCTTATTATATCTGTGGGAAACATCCAGGATGTTGAATATGGATGAATCCATGCAGCACCAAAAAAAAAAAAAAAAAAAAAAGATTGGACTGGTCCGTCTGGTTGAGCTACCTGGTTCTGCCTCGTCTTCTCTGGTCATGCTGGGATTCTCTGTGCATCCACGTGGTGGCCAAACCATGAAAACGTATCACCATAAACAGTGGATTTTACTGCAGTATTATGAATATACAAACAAACGATAGCGTATAAAATAACATTTCAACGTCCGATATATTTCGTCATATTGCACAGCCCTAACTATGATGCAGGCTCTGCCATCTTGTTTTTGCACATGGTTAAATAGAGTAACAGCAGGTGAATGATGTCAGGACAGAGCGTAAGAATGAAGTTGGCGTGTGTTCCCCACTTTAATCTACAAAACCCAGACTCACAGCTGAAGATCTGTTTTTGATACTTTACATTTCGGGGCAAGTCGTGCTGCCTGCGCAGCCACGAAGGGCTCGTTATTGCCCAGCTGCTCTCTCTGAAACAAGCGCGCTGCATGGGGTAGATCACAGATTACAGCAGACCCCAGCCAAATGTAAGTAAGTAAGTAAAATTTATTTATATAGCACATTTCACAGATAAAAATCACAAAGTGCTTTACAGTAAGATCAGACATACAAGTTAAAATTAATTAAATTAGTTAAAAGCCCGTTTGTATAAAAATGTCTTCAGCTGCTTTTTAAAGGAGTCAGTAGAGTCTAGACAGCGTAAAGACAACGGCAG